TGAGAACTACATTACATATTCATACTCATATCCATTGTGAGTTAAGGATGTGGTAAGAAGAAAGGCAGACAAAATTCTCAATAGCATAGTAAGAAATTTAAAACAACGTCTCAAATTGATGAATAAAATGCTAAGGGGCTGGGGCTCAGCGGTAGAGCGCTTGCCTAGCATGTGTGGGGCACGGGGTTCCATCCTCAGCACCACATAGAAATAAAATAAAGGGACTGCGTCCATCTACAGCTGAAAAATGAAGTAATTAAAAATACTGAGGACAGTCCAAAGTCAGAGTTGCTTACATATCTAAAAATGGATGCAGAAAAGGAACTTCCTGTTTTTATTTAGAGCCTTTAAGCATTTGATTTTTAAAAACCTATGCACATATTTATTGGAAAACAGAATAGGTAGAAAAAATGCTGTACCACAAGGCCAAACTACAAGGACTCGAGTGACCCCTAAGGTCGGCACCCTGAAAAGCAGCGAACTAGAAATCGCCTGAACAGGCCCAGCGCGGTACCGCCAGGCCAGCTGGCGAAGAGGCCATGCACCAGCCATGGCTAAGGAGCCAGATCGGAGCCTGGCCGCGCCGAGGCGGGATCGCGGGGCGGGGTGAGAGTAGCAGAGTAGCTCGGGTGGAGCCCCTGGGCCAATCCCAGGGCCGAAATGCACACATCACACCCGGTGTTTTATTAGCGAACTGTGTACAGTGGAGCCTGAAAGGAACAACGCCCATAGCACGCGGGCAGGGCGGACCCAGGGTCCAGACCAGGGCAGAGCGCTGATCCTGCTCCGCCCGCGCGGTCCTGCTCCGCCCGAGCGCGCTCACCTGCCCGAGGCGTCAGGAGAAAGGCGCGGCGGGACTGCATTTCCCAGCGCGCCCCGCGGAGGAGCGTGCCGGCAGGGGCGGGGCGCGGCGCGTGCGCGTTGGCACGTGAGGGATGCGCGTGCGTGCGTCAGTGTGGATGGTGCGTGCGTGCCGGTAGGGGCGTGGCGCGCCAACGGCAGGCCGAGGAGCCGGGAAGAGGCCCCGCGGGGCGGGGCGGGCCGCAGTGGACACCGCCCTGCGGCCGCCGACGGCCTGCGTGGCCCTGGGCCAGCTGCCCGCGCCCGCTCGCCGGGCCTGGCCGTCGCTGTGGCCTCCTGGCGGGCCTGGTTTCCCGCGCACGGGGCGCCTCGGCGGAGGGCCGGGGCGGGGCGGCGGAGGTGCCCGCGGGACGAGCACGGCGCCGGGACGCACCACGGTGAGCCTGACGCGGGGCAAGCGCGGCGGCCCCTCCAGGCACTGCCGCGGGCACCCCAGTCGCGGGCGCTGGCGGACCCTGAGGCCAGGCGGGGCAGCTTTCACCAGTGCGGTGGCAGGGAGCAAAGGACGGGTGGCTGTTTTGTCGTCTGATGCAAAAGCGATTCAGAACTTTGCTCCTCGTTGACGTTAAGCAGTATTTGCGTCGAAATTGCCCAGAATGGCATCAGTATTTTTAGTTAAGATCAAGTAGTTTGTGTGTGGCCTGAAGAAAAAAAGAAAAAAGAAATCATTGTCTCTAGCGTCTTCACATTTTTAAAAAAAATTAAATAGATTAATTGGAAGGTGTGTGTATTTAACTTACTTTTTTCCCGGGACAGCTCACAACTTGGTTTTACATTTTCATTTTTTTTCTTGACACTAGATTTGTTAAATTAGCTATAGTTTGGTATGTCATCCAGCATTTAATGTGTGAAAGACTTAAGGTTAGTAGCAAAATTGAACACATAGATCCTCCCCAAAGTGTATGGAGAAGGTGCAGCATTTCCCCTCTCCCTGCAGGTCAGTAGCAGCAAGAAGCTATTAATTAAAACAAAGGAAAAAGAAAGACAAGATGTCACCCTGAATGCCAGTGGACAGTGCTGGGGCAGAGATGTTGTCTGCAGTTACCGGAGGACCACATAGGACAACTCCCTCCCCCCTTATAGAGCACCTCAGCACTTCACTATTCTTTATGAGGAAACTGCTCCTCCTCTGCTTCATGATTGTCCTTCATCTTGCAAAACTTATGAAGGGGGCGGGGGTTGCACAGCCTCCTGCTTCTTTTTAAAACGTTCATGTGTTCCTTCATTCCTCCTCTCAGCGCTTACTTCTTGAGCTCTTTTTTTGCCAATCGCAGGGGCAGGGATTTCAGGCACACATCTAGAGATCAGGATGATTGACTGCTTGTCAGTGTATGCTGCATGGTCTTAGGCAATATTTAAACATGCGAGGCTTGTGTCCTGGTAAACAAACTCTAAAACTGTCATTAATTAGCTAAGTCACCAGCATGCAGGAGACTTATTTATTATCAGTAAGTTTTTAATGAAGTGACTGAAAAGGAGATAAGTTAACACATTGTTTTACTACTGTCCTCAGTAACAAGTTAGCACATATTTCTGCAAAAAACAAAGGTCTGTTCACAATAGGAAGAAAACACTTAGTATTAATTTTAAATAGAAGTAATGTGTTAACTATATGAAAACAAAACTAATAGAAGGTATGAAATAAGAATAAAGGATCACCTGGGCACAGTGGTCCCAGCAGCTTGGGTGGCTGAGGCAGGGGAGGCTAAGGCAGGAGGATTGGGAGTTCAAAGTCAGCTTCAGCAAAAGTGAGGTGCTAAGCAACTCAGTGAGATCCTGTCTCTAAATAAAATACAAAATAGGGCTGGGGATGTATCTCAGTGGTTGGTGGTCAAGCGCTCCTGAGTTCAATCCCTGGTACCCTGTAAAAAGTAAGAATAAAGGATCAATAAGAATGAAAATAGTTCTGTTTTTAGATTAAATTCAGTTCTCAACAAAATCTAACTGGAAATTTTAAAAAGAACTCCCATGCTCATTTTTCCTCCTTGATATCTTCTTGCCTCATAAAATGATAATGGAAGTGGTCCATTCCTTTTTTTTACAATTTTACTAGAAAAACATTCTGTTAAAGGAGAACTAAGCCTAGAAATGGTGGTTTTCATCAAGTAATTTAAGCACTAAAGCATTTTGGGTTTTAAAACTTAAGGGAAATGAAATGTCACACTGTTCCTGTTCTGCAGACAATGCGCTTACTGTGGTGCTCTTTCTAGCATCTCTCCTGTCAGCCAGGGCTCTTCCTTCTCTCTTTCTTGTCTGTAGGCTTTGACTTGGAACAAACATTCAAGACAGCGTTTTTGCTCCTCTCTGCACAGTCCCTCTCTGCTGCTGCATCCTAACCTTTCCTTTTCTAGAGACTGGGGCAGGTTGAAAAGTTGTCAGCGCCCAGAATGTAGGCGCTGTGAAGCTGAATGACAAGTAATTTGGTTGGAGCTATGTTGTGCAACTGCTGGCACCGCAGTGGGTGACTTGCTGAGCCTTTGCTGGCTTTGAGAAGGCAAAGTAATGTGGTAGGCAAAGTAATGGCTCCCCAAAGATGTCCCCAGAACCTGAATCTTAAGTGGTGAAAAAGAATTGTGATTCAAAAGGACTTTAAGATGGGAACAATTACCCTGGATTATTCTGATGGGCCTGGGCTAATCACAGGAGTCCTGAAGAGGGAAGCCAAAGGTACAGCTGGAGGGTGTGACTTGCACAAAGGCACAGAGCTGGGTGGCTGCTGGTAGTTGTTGCTGGTAGCGTGGTGGAGGAACTGGTGCCTCTGGCAGCTGGCAGGGGCAGGAAGTGGATTTTCCCCAGGAGGCTCAGGAGGAGCAGCGCTACCCACACACTAATGTAGACCAGAGCTGTTAGGTAGTAAGTGTGTGCTCTTTTTAGCCACTGGGTGGTGGTTGATTAATATAGCCTTTTTTCCTTATATGAGTTTCCTGTGCAAAGGTTGGCCCCCTTGTCTTCTGGCTCCGTCCTTTGATGATGATTCAGAAGAAAAACAGAATGATTATAAATTAAATTAGCAAAAAGTTTTTGCTGAGGGGGGCAGTACTAGGGATTGAATCCAGAGCCTCACACATGCTAGGCAAGTGCTCTGTTAAATAGCTGCATCCATAGTCCTTTTGAAAATTTTTAAGGCAGGTTCACCTTGAACTTGTGATCCTCCTGCCCCAACCTCCTGAATCACTGAGATCACAGATGTATGCCACTGTGCCTGGCTTCAATACTTTTTTTGGTGACTACATCTGGTAGAAAATGTAGGCTTTGTTATAATATTTACATCCAAATGTTGAAGATTTGTCATGTTTGTCTCCTGTTATGCCAGATTCGTGGGACCCCAATAGACCTCCAGGAGCCGAATCCAATGCAAGCACTCAAGGGTCTTTATTGCAAGCTCGAGCCTGGACTCACAACCGTCCCGATGCGCGGTCTCAGGGAGTGAGTCCTGGTCCTTTGTTCAGTGAGATTTTATAGGTTTTGGGGGATACTCTATGCGTCACAACATCACATAGCAAATCATTCCATACCGTGGGAAAATCAAACAATAACTCTTAACATTGATTAGCATATTCACTGGCAGGAACAAGTTGGGTAGGGGTGATTGGCTAGTACAAGAGGGGGGTTCGTTTGAACTGATTGGTTTAGGCCACGAGGGGTGTACGTGCTAAATTACATGTTTCCCAACATGTTATCAACCACCATAAACTATCTGGGGGTCATCTGGCATTCCAGGTATTTCCCTGTCTTATGCTGATTGAAGGTTGCTAGGAGGGTTGCATGGGTCCTCACCTAGCCTAACTGAGTCAGGGACACCTGGCTCCGCAGACCTCTCCTATTATTTACAGACAAACAACTCAGCAGGGTGGGTATGTACTCTGAGTGCTCTGTGGGTTTTTCCAAGGACAAGGGTCACGCCTCCTTCCTTAGGACAGGCCTTGAGGTAGAAGCTGCTGTTATGTATTTCTTTTTAAAAAATGGAGTCACATTAGTTTCTCACTCCTAGAAGATTTTACCTTCTGGAGGTGGTGGGTATAAAAATATCTCTCTGAAAATTTAGAGGTCCTCTGTAGAATGGCATTTACTGTGATGATTCAGCATGAGACCTTTCCTTGTGTCATTTCCGGTCTCACTTAAAAAGAGCCCACTGGCTAGGAAGCCCTCAGGCACTCATGTGAGCTTCTCAAATGCCTTTGATCTTTGCTTTTGCTGGGGACTTGTCCTTTGCCTTTCATGGGTGTGTATTGTCTTACTGGGAAGATTTTTGGATTCCAGAGCATCAGGATTGCCTCTCATCTTTGTTTTGTTTCCTACAACAGTGACCAAATAAGAAGATGGGCTGGAGTTCTCTGCTGTGACCCAGGAAAGGGGGACTGCTCCCCAAAGGCCAAGACTCATTATGCTACTGCAGCCAGAACAAGAGAGAAGTATTGCTGGATGTCGGCAAATAGAAGGTTTGGAACAGCTTTCTTCTATGGGTTGTTTTTCTGGGACTTTCTTACATGAGTGGAGCCTTCCTTATAGGTGACATTCTCACCCTGGGGGCTCTGCACATTCCTCCACTGCTGTGCCTCAGTCTTCCTCTCATCATCCCAGCAACATAGTATGTGAAACCTCAAACTCTAAAATCCTTCCTCCTGCCTGTCGCCTGTTATTTTCCTGTTCGTGTCACGTCTGAGTCTCCCGATTCTGTTCTTAGAGGTTCTTAGAGGTTCGTCTCAAGTCTGTCAGCTCCTTCCCCGATGCTGGTGTTTGTGCCCAGAGAAGGTTGTATTATGATCAGACACCTCTCACTGGGCATCGTGTCCTTGCTCCTGGCTGTGCCAAGCCTGCGTGGTTCATCCTGTCATGTGCCTTTTCCTTTGCCTGGCAGTGAGCTTGCCAGAGATCACAGCCAGGTAGCTGGATGTGACCCGCACACTCTCCACAGCCTCAGCTTGCCATTTCCAGCTGTTTTTGTTGCTCCACTGCAGTGTGGCCCAGGCTGTCACCTTCCTCAGAGCTCATAGCCAGTGCCGTCTCTCTCATCCACAGCTTACAGCTTTTCGTTCTATGTAATGTTTTTATGGAACTGTCAAAAGCCGTCTATCCCGACTTCCTGGCATATACAAGGACTCACTCTCCTCCTCTGCAGGCCTGCTTTCTCATCAGAGCTTTGTATCCCATCCCCTCCTCCTCCCCGTGCCAGCCCCCTTGTCTGTCATGCCTTCCTGCCTGCATACACTCACGTCCGCTTGATTGACCCCATTACCTCTTCCAGTGCTACCATTTCTCTTCTTTTGCCATTTCCGTACTTCTCATTCCTATCATGGGAACAGTGTGTTGAAACTGCTTTTCCCAAATCTTTAGTGAACCCTTATCCAACTGATCTAATATATTTCCACCCTTGATTTATCCAACTCTATTTTGATCCTACCCTCCTTGACATTCCCCCTTCTGTATCTTCTCATTGTCAAAGTTCTTCTCTATGGGCTTCGCTTCTCTTTCTCCTTTGCTTTCTGCGTGTTGATTTCTCCATAGTTTAATCATGGCCCTTCAGTGTATTCTTTGGGTTGTCTTTCGTTGTGTGCCCTATTTTCAGCCTGTATCTTGGTCCCTTAGCAGGTGTCATGTGAGTGATGCTGTCGGGCTGTTGGTGGGGACATGTGACTGCCCTTAGGCTCCCCTCTCCATTGGTCTGCTTCATCTGAGTCTTAAAGCAGAAGTCCACAGTTACTTTTGAATCCTGACAAAAGGCCACAGAGGTGGGGGTCTGTTGCCAGGCAACTTGAGTACACATTATAGAAGAGAAACATGGCAGGCAGACATCACATCAGGGTATATCACATTCAAGTGACCCTCCTAGATGTGCTTTCTCTGTGGCCCACGCCCTGCGTTGCAAACCAGTCTCTCCATTCCTGTAGCACCTCTTCCTTCTGATGCACTGTTCTCAACTTGGACCTGCAGCAGCCATGAGCCGATCCTCACCCAACAGCTATCATTGTTCAGGACATATCCATCTCCCAGAACTTTCTGCTCCCCATGTCCCTGTTGTGGCCCTCATTCATGTTCCCGTTTTCTGAGTAACTGTCAGCCTCCTGCCTGGCTTCTTTGCGGCCTTTGTATTTTCTTCTGATCCTTCATTTAACCACTTCTAATATAACATTTATATATATATATATATATATATATTTTTTTTTTTTTTTTGGTTGTAGTAGGGCACAATGTCTTTATTTTATTTATTTTTATGTGGTGCTGAGGATCGAACCCAGCGCTTTCCACGTGCTAGATGAGCGCTGTACCACTGAGCCACAACCCTAGCCCCTCTGGTATAGCATTTAAAAAAATATTTTTAAAATTATCATTGAACCTTTATTTATTCATATGTGGTGCTGGGAATCAAACCCAGTGCCTCACACATGCTAGGCAAGTGTTCTACCATGGAGCCCCAGCCCTGGTACAGCATTTTTAAGACACAAATCTGATGTTTCCTGGCTGATAACACCTAGGGAGGAGTCCACACTTCTGAGAATGGCCTTCTTGGGCCCTGGCCTGGCTGGGCCTGGCTGTGTACACTGCCTGCTGTCTCTACTGCTGTTGGCCACCTGCACTGGATGCACCAGCAGCCTCACACAACGTCTTCTGGGTCGGCCTTTCTTCATGCTGTCTGCCAATCTTTACCTGTCAAGCCACTCTGAGACCCAGACCAGGTTTTGTGCAGGCTCCACATCCTTGGTTGCTTCTCACATTGTGAAAAGTGAAATCCATGAGGGAGGGTGGGTCTGGAACCCCTAGGATGGACCTACTGTGTTGTGAGCACTTGGGGCATCATCAGATGTTAAGGAATACAGGAGCCACATGGGCTTATTCCACTTCTTGGGCCTGCTGACGGTGGCTCTTTCAAAGGAGCCTGTGCTCTGATAATACCCACCCAGAGTTTACACAGCACCCACTCTCGCATCTGAGTCTTCATCTAGTGTGTTCACTGCCTTTATCGTCATCTACAAGTTGTGACTGATCCTTACTCACATTGCTGGGCAAAGGGTTCAGGACCAGGTACAGTGAGACCTGTAGCCTAATATCAGACCTCTTCCTTGGACAGCTGGCTGTGTGTTCATGTTGCTGCTTGTCTTAGCAGCTGTGGGGGCAAAGAGGAAGAAGCACTAGATTTACCTGGAGAAATGAGGTTGTGGCACAGAAAGGATTGGTTGTATGACCTTGCAGGGTGGATAGGGTTTGTCAAGAGTCAAGGAAGGGAAGGACGCTGCTGGCAGAGGAACAGTGCAACAGAGTGAATGGGGAGGTCTGCAGAGGTCCTCCTTGAGTGTCCAACAAGCACAGGTCATTACATGCATTGGAGAATACTGCCTGAGCCAGGGAAAGGGTCATCTAAGGGGCCAGAGGGATAGTACCTGAAGTTTACACAGGCCGGAAGGAGGGGAAGACTACTTCCTAGCGTACCAGGGCCTATCAGGAAGGTCTTGCTGCAGTCGTGGGAAATATTCAGCACTATGCTAACTACTGCTGACTCCTCCTAGCAGATTGTAAAGTAAGACCCAGAAAGATCAAGCTCTTTCCAAAAAAACTGCATCCTAAAACAACACTCAAGATTTATATTGCATGTAATGCAATAAAATCCACAACATCTGCCATCCAAAGATTACAAAGCACGCAAAGAGGACAGTAATGAGGTGACACTGACCTAGATTGACACAGACACTGACTGGAATCAGCAGAGGAGGGCAATGCAACTGTTAGAGTCATTTCATACTGTCAAGAAGGTCATAGAAGCCAGTGATGCACCTGTATCCCCGCTACTCGAGGCACAGGCAGGAAAATCACAAGCTTGAGGCCACCCATAGCCACTTAGCAAGACCCTGTCTCAAGGGCTGGGAAAGTTAGCTCAGTGGCAGAAGTGCCTGGTTTCAGTGACTTTTATATATTTACTGGTTTTTTTTTTTTTGTTGTTGTTCTAGAGAGTACACCTTCATATTTTAAAAAAACCAAGACAAATCAAAAAACCACACTAAAGAGAAATAGGAGGTATAAAAGAAGAACTACATCGAGAATCTAGAGAGAAAAATCTATATTATCTAAAAGGAAAATACAGTGGATTAACAACACATCAGACTTGAAGGAGAAATGATTGATGAGTTTAAAGGCATGGCAGTAAAGCTGTCCAAAGTGAAATGCAGAAAGAAAAGGAAGCCGAAAGAAAAAAAGGAATGCTTTATTGAGCTGTGGACAACGGCCGCTTGCCCACTGTGTGAACATGTATGTGCCCCACAAGCAGGTTTTAGTCAATGACGGCGAAAAATAGGACAGTGTGATACAATGGAGCTGGAAAACGGCTGTTGTCTAATGATAGGACAACCTAGTGCCACTGTGGTGGCAACACAGTGCACCTCTTGGAGACACAGCAGGTGGGCTGGGGGTGACTTGGGGGCAGAGCACTTGCCTTCCTTTTGCAAGGCCCCACACTGTGTTTGACCCCAGCACCATACACACAGGTAGCATGTGCATGTGTACAGTGCATGAGACTTGGTAATAAATGACCTTGCTAAGTATGGATTTGCTCTTCTTTTTAATTGTTATTTTAGAGAGTATACCTTCTTGTAAAGGTGAAGAATATAAGGCATGCTAGGCTAAGCTGGCAGCAGCTTTACACATAGGTTTGCTTAGGTGTTGTCTATGATGGTCACACAGTAACAAGATCACCTAACATGCAGTTCTCAGAACAGATCCCTGTTGATAGTGATAATGTGGGCTGTGGTCATTATACTGAAGGAGAGGAGAGTAAGGAAGAAAAACATGAACAGCTCCTCGGGAGGCTGAAGTAGGATCCCAAGTTTGAGGCCAGCCTGGGTAACTTAGCAACACTGCATCTCAAAAAAATAAAGATGGGCTTGGGGAGGCTGAGGCAGGAGGATCACGAGTTGGAGGCCAGTCTCAGCAATTTAGTGAGACCCTGTCTCAAAATAAAAAAGCGCTGGAGATGTGGCTCAGTGGTTTAAGTGCACCAGATTCAGTCCTGGGGATGTAATTTGGTGGTAGAGTTCTTAACCTAGGACGTTCTTAGTGAATTCTATCTCCAGTACTGAAAAAAGGAAACAACAACAAAAAATCTAAACAACACTAGAAGACCCTGAGTATACTCTCAAAGAAATTGAAAAGGGGAACTTGGATTGATACTTGTCTGCCAGTGTCCATTGAAGCATTATTCACAATAACTGAAAGTTGTAAACAGCCCAGCGTCCATCAGCAAATGAATGGGTTAATGTGGAATGTGTAACAGAGTAGTATTCGGTCAATAAAAAGGAATGAGGTTCTTTTTTATAAATAGTATTGGGGATTGACCCAGGAGTGCTGTACCACTGAGCTACATGCCAGCCCTTTTTACTTTTTGAGACAGATGTCACTAAGATGCCCACGCTGGTCCTGAACTTGTGATCCTCTAGCCTCAGCCTCCTGAGTTGTTGGGATAACAGGTGTGGCTCCTGTGCCTGGCAGGAATGGAGTTCTGATACATGCTGCAATATGGCGAGCTTTGAAAACTTCATGTTAAATGAAATAAATTGGACAAAATGGCAAATATTGTTGGATTCCACTTTCATGAACTATCTAGAATGGCAAATTTGTAGATAAAGGTTGTAAGGGGCCATGAAGAGGGAGGATGGGGAGCTACTGCCCGACAGATTGGAGTTTCTGTTTTGAGTGATGAAAAGCTGTGGAGTTAGTGGTGATGGCTGTACAACATCGTGGGTGTAACGCCACTGAATTGTGTGCTGGAACACAGCTACAGTGGCAAATTGTCATCTGTATTTTACTGCAATTTTTAAAATTATGTAATATACCAAAAGTCATTGAATTGAAAACTTTAAATGAGTGAATTATATTGTATAGGAGTTGCATCTCAATAAAGCTATTTAAAAAAACCAAAGGTACAGTAAAGACGTCACAGCAATTGCTGCGAGAATTTACAACCACGAGATCCCTTACCACGAATGTTGAAGAGCACCTTCAGGGAGAAGGACGTTAGAGCAGATGGAGAGCTGGCCCTGTGTGGAGGAGTGAACAGCCTGGTGATGGTAAATAGGTATGTGTGTGATGTTCTCCTTAATGTTTAAGTCCCTCAAGGAAGAAGTTGACCATGTGGATTTCTTGTTACTGTGTAACAAGTACCAGGTGCCTGGCACCTTCACACAGCACTCTGCTCACAGTTCTGCAGGCCAGCAGCTCAACGTGGCAGTGTCCTCTACTCAGGGTTGCCAGAGGCCTAGTTCAGGGGCCTGCAGGACCAAGTGCTCCTCTGGAGGCTGTGGCAGGGTTCATTTTCTTGTCCCTCCTCCATGAAGGCTGTGGGCCGGATGCTGCCCTTGGCTCCCTGGAGCCTGCACTCCTGGCCATGCTGCACTTCCCTCCAGGTGCTTCAGGCCTCTGCTTCCTTCTGTGACCAGCAGGAGGGAACTTGTTTCTTATTTCTAAAGTGTGAATGTTAGGTCAGTTTATTTATTGCTTTTTTACCTCAAAAGAGGATCTGTAGTGGTAGGTAGAACCATCCAGTCCCGAATTAGTTTTAGCATGGTACTCCAGAGGTTAAGGGGTCCCTTTTATGTAACCCCGTCTATAATCTTGGGAAGTTTCAGGCATTGTGTGTTATTTTTCTGTGTGGTGGGTCTTTGACACCTTTGCACAGTTAAAGAGTCAGCAACCTTGTCTCATGTTTCTCTTTTCCCCAACTTGGGTTTTCAGGACTCTCCTGTTGCTCAGGAAAGTGTTGCCAAGAACAAGGAGGGCATGGAGGCCGCATTACTGCCTGCCTGGTCCCAGGTATGTTGGGCTGCTTTCCTTGTTGCCCAGTTGGGAACCCCTCTATACCAAGGTTCTGATGCCCTGTGCCCAGGGGCATAGGAGTTTGCATCCAGGAGACCAGGAGTGTTTTGTCTCCTTTGTTTGTAGATGTAGGTTTGTTTCCTTTAATACAAAACAAACACAAGTGGAACAGCTGGGCTGGAGCTGGACCCAGTTGGTGGAATGCTCTTTCATCCACACCAGTCATTAAACCCACAGAAGAAGTAGAGTGTTGGTGCCTCACACAGGCTTCCTTGGTCCTGGCTGTTCTGGTGTGATGCTGGTTGTGTGAATTCATCCGTGGGGATCTCCTGTTTGAAGGATCTCAGGGCAGCACAGGTAATTATCAAAGAGAGAAAACTCCACCAAGGCACAGCACAGAGTGCTCAGGGGGATGCACCATCTAGGAGCAGAGCAGCCTGGTTGCATCCTTTATGTGGGCATAGAAAGGTGATCTGGGGAACAGTCAGGAGCAGAACAGATGTTCCTTGCCCAGTAAATGCTCTGGGCAGGAGTTTGGTGTATGCATAGAACACAAGGAGATTTAAATAATTTTAAGGTTCAGGAGAAAACTTGCTGAAATGACATTCACACCAAGACATTAAGAATGATTTATGGGGCTGGAGCTGTGGCTCAGTGGCAGAGCACTTACCTAGCATGTGTGAGGCACTGGGTTTGATCCTCAGCACCACATAAAAATAAACAAAATAAAGGCATTCTGTCCATTTACAACTACAAAAAAAAAGTCATTTATGATTATCCGCCTAAGCGTGAAGGAAGTGAAGGAAGTGGATTTGTGAGTACCCAGAGTTTTGAGAAAGCATGGCCTGTTTGAAGAGCTCTGAGGGGAGAGTGGGCAGTGTGGACCTTGTGCCTGTCGCTGCAGGCCCTCAGGAAAGGCCCGGCAGAACAGACACAGGTCAGTAACTGGCAAGCTGATTGAGCTGAGGGGCTTGCATGTCAATTGTGCTACTGAGAATGAGAAGCTAGGCTGTGTTGCTGAAAAGTGAGTTAATAAGAAATCACTATGGCTTGATCTTTTCCCCTCCCCCTCCCTCCCTCCCTCTCTCCCTCTCTCCCTCTCTCCCTCTCTCCCTCTCTCTCTTTTGGTACTGGGGATTGAACTCAGGGGTACTAGACTACTGAACCACATTCCCAGCCCTGTTTTGTATTTTATTTAGAGGCGGGGTCTCACTAAGTTGCTTAACACCTTGCTTTTGCTGAGGCTGGCTTTGAACTCATGATCCTCCTGCCTTAGAGCCCCCAAGCCACTGGGATTACAGGTGTGTGCCACCGTGCCTGGCTTTCCCTTGCTTATTATGGAAATTTCCACAGATATACAATAGTAGAAAAAGTAGTTTGATACATCAGAGAAGAAGGGCATAAACATTGTTTTTATATTCTCTATTGAAGGACATTTAGGTTAATTCCAGTTTGGAGCAGCTTTCAATAAAGTCCTTTACCGATTTTTATACATTCGCATGTAGGTTTTGGTGTGAGCCTGTTTTCATTCTCCTAGTATTTAGCCAAGAGAATGGCAGGTTAGGTATTCCCAGAGGCCCTGTGTTGACTTGTTCTCTGGCTTGGTGTGTTGGGGGCAGTTGCACTTTTAAGAGGAGGGGCCTGTAGGCCTGTAGGTCCCTAGGCATTGGGGTAGCCCCTCTCAGGGAATTGTGGGCCTCTGTCTCTGGCCCTCTCTTCCTTGCACTTACCGGCCATAATGTGAATAGGTACCTACTGCCACAGACTCCTGCTACAATGCATGGTGCTGCCCCAGGGCCAACTGGCATGGCCTAAGACCTCCAGAAGTGGGAGCCCAAACAAACCTTTTTGTTGTTGATTACCCATGTATTCTGTTAGAGTGACAGCCAGATGACATCGGCTATGTGGTGCAAGTAACTTTAACTTGAGGAAATGTGAGCAGCATTTTCCCAAAGTGAGGCATTTTCCATTCCACAGTGGAGAGCAGCAGTCACTCTACATCCTCACCGGTGTTTGGTTTGAAACTTTACCCTTCCTAATAGGTGTCTGCTGTCTTGCTATGGTTTTAGTTTCCATTTCCCTAATGAATTATGACCTTGGGCATTTAAAAAAAAATTTTTTTAGTTGTCAATGGACCTTTATTTTATTTATTGATACGTGGTGCTGAGAATCGAACTCAGTGCCTCACACATGCTAGGCAAGTGGTCTGCCACTGAGCCACAACCCTTGGTCATCTTTTCATATGAGTATTTACCATTTTTGGTGAAAAGTTTTAGTTTTTTCTGCTCAGTTTTTAACTAGTCTGTTTACTTACTGTTGAGTTTTTACAAAATATATATATTTTTTAGTTACAGATGGACACAATATCTTTATTTTTATTTATTTACTTTTACATGAACCCAGGGCCTCATGCATGTGAGGCAAGTGCTCTACCACTGAGCTACATCCCCAGCCCCTACTGTTGAGTTTAAAAAGAAATTTTCTTTTTTTTTAGTTGTAGATGGACACAACACATTTATTTTATTTATTTATTTTTATGTGGTGCTAAGGATCGAGCCCAGTGCCTCATATGTGCTAGGTGAGCACTCTACCACTGAGCCCCAGCCCCTGACTGTTGATATTAATGTGCTTGAATTTAAATGTGTCGTTGTGTTTTCTGCATATTCCCCATCCCACCCCCATGCTGCCTTTACATGGGTGTTTTTTAGTATTTCATTTTAATTTATATTTTGACTCTTTAACATTGCATTTTTGTGTTTTTAAAGGGTTGTTGTAGAGAATAGAATGTACATACCTAATCTTTTATAATCTAGACTTAATTTTTTTACCGCTTCAACTAAAATCTGGAAGCCTTTTAAACACATGCATCCCTTGATTTTCCTCCTTTTGAGTTCATATTGCGTGTGTGTGCATGTGTGTTTGTGTCCTTACTTATGTTGAAAAACCCCACCGGAAAATGTTGCAGCTTTGCTTTCAACTACCATATATATACTTTTTTATAATTATAAGTTTAATGTTTTTAAAATAGTTTTTAAACCAGTACATAAAACTTGTACATGTTAATTGGTATCATATAATATTCAATTCACATATATATTGTGTAATGTTTAAGTGATCTTAAACATATTTATCTTTTGAAACACTTATAATTTCTTTATAGTGAAAACTTTGAAAATCCTTTCTTCTAGCTTTTGGAAATGTGCATTATTGTTATATGTGCTCCTTCCTCTATATCCCATATATTTTTGAGTTTAAGGGAAGAAACCCATGACACTGGGCTGGGGTTGTGGCTCAGAGGTATAGAGCTTGCCTAGCACATGGGAGTTGCTGGGTTTGATCCTCAGCACCATATGAAAAAATAAATAAATAAAATAAAGATATTGTGTTCAACTACAACTAAAAAAAATATTAAAAAAAGAAAGAAACCCATGATACCCAGATATATACTGTTTTTGTGGTTCATCCTTCATTTCTAAGATTTCAGTTTTCTCTTCAGCGTTATTCACTTTTTGCCTGAAGAATATCTTGTAGCACATCTTTTAGGGCAGATCTTCTGACAACAAACTTTGTTGGTTTTACTTCATTTCAAAATGTATATTTCTTGGCATTTCTGAAAGATATTTCCATTAGATGAAAAAATTCTGGCTTAGCCAGGCACAGTGGCACATTCCTGTGATCCCAGGTACTCAGAAGGCTGAGGCTGGAGGATCAGCGCCAGCCTGTGCAACTTAGCAAGACCTTATATCAAGAGAAAAATTTACAAAAAGAACTGGGAGTGTAGCTCAGTGGCAGAGCACTTGCCTAGCATGTGTGAAACTCTGGATTCTATCCCCAGTAATACCAAAAAAAAAAAAAGAAATCTTGTTTTGACATTTCTTTCAGCATTTAAAAACAGGCATATATTCTTCATTCAAGTAGATTTTTTTGTCCCCTGTGGTAACAGGGATTGAACCCAGAGGAGCTTAACCACTAAGCCCATCCTCAGCCCTTTTTATTTTTATTTTGAGTCAGGGTCTCACTAAGTTGCTTAGAGCCTCACTAAATGACTGAGGCTGACTTTGAACTTGAGATCCTCCTGCCTCAGCTTCTCGAGCTGCTGGAATTGCAGGTGTGTGCTGCTGTGCCAAGCTCCAAATAGATAGTTTTTCTACATATAATCAACACTTCTTTTTGATGAAGCTAGTACAGTCTTTACATTTGTATATCTTGTTTCCTTCATTAAATTGTTTTGCTACTACTAAAGGATAACTTTCTTCTTCTTTTTTATGCCTATCAGTGTTGAGGGAAAATGTTCTGGGTGATTATTTGGGGTCATGAGACATGGCTTGAGTGATGCGCCTCTTGAGCCATGCAGTGTGCTCGATCTCTATTTTCCTCCCTATTTTCTTGCCTTGAATTTAGGTATAAACGGGTTAACTTCTGGTGTCTGATTTTCCCTTCCATAGTTGTTTTAAATAAACTTGGTTTAAATAAAAATGTTTGTTTCTAATCTAAAGCATGACACAGACTTTGCTTTTGGATAGTAACTACCTAAGATCCATTCTTTGGGAGACTTGACCCAGATACCTCAAAATAAATACTGCTAGTTCCTAGAGCGAGTTGGTCCATCCTCTCCCCACTCAGTGCAGGCAGCCTCCCTTTGCCAGGATCCAAAGGGAGGCAAATATATTAATCCGGCTCAGTGAAGATTTGTTTGATTTTGTAGACACTGGTGACCTTCAAGGATGTGCTTGTGGACTTCACTAGAGAGGAGTGGCAGCTGCTAGACCCAGCTCAGCAGGTCATGTACAAAGATGTGATGTTGGAGAACTATGAGAACCTGGTGTCGTTGGGTAAGACTAACCTGTGCTTGAAAACTACTCACTGTGGTGATTTTGGCTTTTCATTGCTTAGTGGCTACAGACCCTGTGGGCTTGGGTTCAGTTACCCGCTTCCTTTGGGGCATAGAGTAGGGTCTTTGTATCCCACTTTTGTGGGGAAAAATTGCTAAATTTAAAAAAATGCATATTTCTTTTGCTAACTCCTTGTAGCCCCAGTGCTGTGGAAGGGTTGGGGTGGGTTTAACTAGGGTTCTTCTCTGTCTACTTTAGAGCTCTCCTGTGCTTACCTGGGCCTTGTTCTTTCCCTGAACAGGGCACCAGCTTCCTAAACCAGAGGTGATCCTGCAGTTGGAGAAAGGGGAAGAGCCCTGGCTGGTGGAGAGGGCAGTTCAAGAGTTGTGTCCAGGTGAGCACCAGGCAGGAGCTGCCACAGTGATGTCCACATGGCCTGAGGGGGCACAGCCTCGAGATAGGCTCAGGCTCTCCTCATAGGTCCTCCTTTCTGAGAGAGTGCTAAAGTCTCCTGCCTCCAGTTGTTCTGCATTCCTGGCAGGCTTGCTTGCGTTGGCTTGCAGAGACCAAGGTGTCTGACTGCTTCACTAAAACTGTCTTCCTGTGGCACACCTTGCTCAGCCCTGCTCCTGTTTGGGGATTATTACCATGAGCTCCACTTACCATGGGGTAATTTTTTCATCTCCCTGACTCTTTCTCCTGTGGCCCCTCCACAGAGCTCAGCTCTTCTCTGTGAGCTGGCCAGTGGAACTGTCCCCTGCTAGTGTTCTGAGCATTTGTTTCCAGCCATTTGTAAGCTGCTCCGGAGGCTCGCAGGCTCCTGCTGGCTTGGCTCCCTCCATTCCAGAAGTGTTGTTCTTGAACCACTTTTCCCACTATAGATCCATATTTAATGTTTTTCAACTTACTCATATTTCATTTTAATGTTAGTATCCCTAAAATGAAAATTGTTGTGTAGCTTCCAAAGGTAATTTATTTTCCCGATTCCCTGTGTATTTCTGGGAAATTGGCCTTCTGAGTTAAAAAAATAGGAAGTTGTCTCCCAGCTTCCCACCCCTGTGTTCTCAATCAGTGGTCTTTTTTCTGTGCTCTGAGCTCAGTGCATCTCATGTGTTGCTGTCAGAGTCATGCTGCAGGTACAGTGCTTCTCGCCACACAGAGGGCCAGCACACATGCAAGGGGCTCTACGTGGGCTCTCAGGGGACATTAATTTCCCAGTCCCATTAGATTCCTGTCACATTGGAAAGAACTGTTTCTTCACCTCTTCACCAGTACCTGATGTGCACACCTGGAAGGCATTTCCGATGCCTCAATATTTGAGTCTTACGAGTCCTATGAATTCATTGATTGAGTTATGTGTGTTTTTGGTGTTAAGTTTTTTGAGTTCTTTATATATCATGGAGATTAATGCTCTGATGTGCAGGTGGCAAAGATTTTCTCCTATTCTGTTGGCTCTCTCTTCATGTTCTAGTTTGTTTCCTTTGCTGTGAAGAAGCTTTTAAGTTTGATACCATCCCATTTATTGATTCCTGATTTTACTTCTTGTGCTTTGGGAGTCTCATTGAGGAATTCAGTTCCTAAGTCAACATAATGGAAATTTGGGCCTGCTTTTTCTTATAGTAGGAATGGGGATCTCTGGTCTAATGCCTAGGTCCTTGATTCATGCAGAGTTGAGTTTTGTGCAGGGTGAGATATAAAGATTCAATTTCATTCTGTTACATGTGGATTTCCCATTTCCCCAGCACTATTTGTTGAAGAGGCTATCTTTTCTCCAATGTGTGTTTATGGGACCTTGTCTAGTATGAGAAATGACTATATTTATGTGGGTTTGTCTCTTATGTCTTCTATTCTGTTCCATTGGTCTTCATGTTTGTTTTGGTGCCAATACCATGTTGGTTTTTGTTTCTGTAGTATAATTTAAGGTCTGGTATTATGATGCCTCCGGCTTCACTTTTCTCACTGAGGATTGCTTTGGCTCACTTGTAAGAACTTGATCAGTCAACTGCTTTGGGCCTGGGAGGAAAGCTTTTTTCTATTTTCTTCCTTCCTTTTCTTATTTCTTTTATTTTGTGTTCATTCATTCAGCAAGTTTTCCTAGATGTTAATTGACAAGTTTCCAAAAATATCAGTCATTAACTAGACTGAGCAGTTTAGATATTTGTTGATAAAATAATTTATATGTCTATTGATAATGTTGTCAAATGAAATATTGAAACTCCATGTTATCAAACACATGGAATTTAAATAAATCTACAAGACTTAATGAACTTCATCATCAAAACCATCAGTGTAATGAACGATGCTTTAGAAATGTTGACTGACAGGTGCTGCAGTTTGATGGTGATGTATTTGCGTAACAGTGTTTCCTAGTAAGTCAGGGTTTCTAGGACACTGGTGATGGAGAGCACCCCACTCGTGCTCAGACACCACACTCAGACTCTTCTTTACCAGTGTGCAGCCCCTTCACATCAATGTCCATTTTAGAGTCTTGCAGTTGCCATTTGTAGTTTGAAAAGCCACTCTGAGATTCTCTGATGCCTTGGGTAATGGAAAGGGGACCAAGAATCATCAGGGCAGAATAGAAACTAGGAACTCTAATGGTCATGAAAATGAGGATATTGGAGTGGGCGTTTAAAAAGAAGTCACCCAGGGAACTGGCTGGGCACAGAGATCATGTTGCTTGTGTTTGTTTCCTAAAGCTGCCATGAAAAAGTACAAGTTGAGCATCTAATCTGGAAAGTTGAGATGAAACTACTCTAAAACCTGAAACTCTTTTTCTCCCCCCTGTAAGACTGGAAGACGCCGCACCACATGACACAGATCACCAAAGAGGTTTCCACTTTATTACAAAAGGCTGTGTGTTTATATAGGTCTAAGGAGAGGTCGCAGGGCTGAGGTAGATAACAGGTCGCCCATTTATTGGCAAGCTCTTCCATATGTCAGTTCCGGAGCCCAAGAAGTTAATTCTAATTGGGGCTAAGGCTTCCCACCAGCAGGGTTTGAACATTGGAACATTTCGCGCCAGTGAAAGAAAAAGAGGAGAAGTTTCGCGCCAGTGAAATAAACAAAGAGGAGAAAGAGGGTTGTTAGACGCCATGCTGGGGTTTTTCTCTGGGGTGCTGCTGCCGTTATATGTTTTCCCAACACCCCCAGTCCTGGGGATTAAACCTAGGGGTGCTCTACCACCTAGCTACATCCCTGGCCCTTTTAAAATTTTGAGACAGGGTCTCAATTAGTTGTCCAGGCTGACCTCTGCTGCAGTCTGACTGGGCACAAAATAACTAAGCCACCACGAGGCACTTGTAGGTTCAAAACAGGAACTCCTTTATTGCCGGAACCCTCCAAACGCCACCCACCCACCCACCGGAAATCCCTCCTCCGACACTTCCCCAACCAATACGAACTCTCCAGGAATCCCCTGGAGAACTCCAGAGTAGCAGGCACCCGAGGCAGCAAGAGCCGCCCTATTGCCCGTCAGTAAAGGTCAAATATACAATACAATCAATCCAGCATCACAGCAATTATATATAGCTTAACTCAAATCATCATCTCAATGGTTTGCTGGTCACCTTTCAAACATTCCCTCTGGCAAATGCCAGGCGTCATTCTGACTGGGCGGTGGCTCTCAACAGACCTCGAACTTGTATTCGTCCTGCCTCAGCCTCCCAAGTAGGTAGGATTACAGGTGTGCACATTGCACCCACCTGATAAAACCCAGACTTTCTGAGCACTGACATGATGTCAAAAGTGTAGAGTTACTTGGTGTACTGCGTGTTGTTGTCAATATGAAGGAATGTGATACAATTTATTCAGTCCCCAAGGGAAGCAAAGACTCCTAGCCCACTCAGCTGTGGTGTACCTTTTCTAGGTGTGCCTGTGTTCCTTACACAAGCGTGCTCAAAGAGTGCAATAAGATGTGTGTTATCTGGATAATGAATGGCAGGTTTCCAGTTCCCCACATGAGGCCAAGATATGTGCCCATTGTATACTCTATGTCTTCTTTACTCTCTGGACTGTGGTGTAAAGGACTTCAGATGTCAAAAAGGCCTGCAGATGCCCCTGTTGATAATGGTGATAAGAAAAAGTGTAAGCATTTGTATCTTTCCACTGTTTATTCCTCCTCCTCCTCCTCCTCCTCCTCCTCCTACTTTCTTCTTGCTGCTTCTTTTTCCTGCTGCTGCTGCTTCTTCTGCTTCTGCTTCTGCTTCTTCTTCTTCCTTCTTCCTTCTTTCTTCTTTCTTCTTATTCTTCATTTTGAACCCAGGGCCTACTGCATGCAAGTCAAGCTCTATACCAACTGAGCTGTATCCCCAGCCCCCCAAGCATTTGTGTCTTTCTGTAGCACAAAAGGTGCTGCCTGAGAAATTGAACAGCAGTTCAAATGTGAAACATATTACAGAAAAATACATTGTTGGAATGACCTGAAGGGACAGAAGGATAGACTGGTGAACGCCATGCTGGAAGTGATGAAAAGAAGGAAAAACCTTGAAAAATAGAAAGAAAACTTAAAATGCATGAACTAAAAATTAAATTGTCTGCAGTACATCAGAAGAATCCAAAAGATGATCAGTATCAGTGAGCATATGCCACATGACAGTGTGCTCAACTTAGTAAACTGAAAATCCAGGGGAACTGGATATTCATGGTTGGTTGCAGAAATTAAGAAAAGACAGCTATATATTTTAAAGATTGGCAGTGATAAAGCATCTACTGATGCCCAAGCAGGGGGACATTCACAGAAGAGCTGGCCAAGGTTGGCACTGGGGGAAGCTGTCACTATCCTGATGCCAGAACAAGTCTGTCATGCTATTATCCCCATGAGAAGCCCCCGCAGGACCCAGGAACCAACAGAACCAAGGCTGGAATGTGTTGATGAGCAGCTTGCCCAGCGCTCTGCAGACCTGCTGCAAGTGAGGAAAGCTCTAGTACTCCCTTTTTTAAAGGAGCCGGTTTCTTGCCAGGCCATTGTTATGCCAATAAAAAGGCATGGATTGCCAGGAATGTATTTCTGATTGATTTCATAAGGATTTTGCTCCAGTGGCTCAAGTCACCTTGGGGAAGCTGCACTGGTTTCTTGCAAGCCTTAGTTCTTCCTTGGTAATCGAGCTGCTTGTCTTGCTGAGACTCTTCAGAAACAGAGTTTGTGCTATGTCCTTTCCCTAAATGTGACTGCATCACTCCAGCTTCACCTTGGGTCCGTAGTGCTGTAGATCACTGAAGAATGAGCAGAGCAAGTGCTGGTAGTAGGGAACAGAGATGGGTGTGGAATGTTTTCCAGGGAGTTTAGTAGGCGGTCGCCATGTGCACAGCGCCTGCACCTTTTTGTTTTTGTTCTTTTTTACTGTGTTATTGACATGTTGTATTTTTCACTCTTAAGTCCTTACGTGTGAATAAGTGTAAGAAAATGATTGCTGTAGCACAGATTCAGTTAGGACAGTGGTAGTGCCAAGCAGCCATAGGTGTCCCCAGGGTGTGGAGACAGTCATCTGTGCTTACTTCCCTGCTTTCTCTCTTCCTTCCCTTCCCTTCTCCACCACAGAGCTATGTCCCCAGCCCTTTTATTTAAATTTTTTTTTTTAGTTGTTGATGGACCTTTATTTTATTTACTTGTATGTGGTGCTGAGAATTGAACCTAGTGCCTCATGCATGCTAGGCAAGAATGCTACCAATGAGCCACAACCTCAGTCCCAATGTCCCCAGCCCTTTTATGTTTCATTTCAAGGTAGGGTCTTGCTAAGTTTCCCAGGCTGACCTTGAACTTGGATATACTCCTGCTTTGGCCTCCCGGACACCTTTGTTTTCTGATGGTTCAGTGTATCCAAACTTTGTTTCATGCACAACATTATTAAAAATATTGTGTGCTAGGCACTGTGGCACACACCTGTAATTTATTGGCTCAGAAGGCTGAGGCAGGAGGATTGCAAGTTCAAAGCCATCTTCAGCAACTTAGCAAAGCCCTAAGCAATTTAGTGAGACCCTGTCTCATAGTAAAAAAATAAAAAGGTTGAGGATATGGCTTAGTGGTTAAGTGCCCCTGGGTTCAATCTCTGGTGTGTGTGTGTGTGTATACACACACACATATACACATATACACACACATATACACACATACATACATACACACTCACATACACATATATGTATACATATATATAGATTTATATAAAATATGTATATATGTATAGATCTATGTATAGATCTATCTATGTACCTATGTATGTATTTATATATAGTACAAAATTGTCTTCAGGCTGTGTGTGTAAGGTATATATGAAACATAAGTGACTTTTGTTTTTAGGCATAGTCCCATCCCCAAAATATTTTGTTATGTACGTGTTTATATTCTAACATATGAAAAAATCCAAAATTCAAAATTCTTTTGAGTCTTAAGGATTTTGGATAAGGGATGCTCAAATTGAACCAGAAACCAGGTGATTTAAAATTGAACTTTACTGCTTATGGTTCTGGAGGCTTAAAAGTTCAAAATCAAGGTGCCACTAGGGGCATGTCAGACCTCTAGGAGAGGGTTCTTCCTGCCTCTTCTAGCGCCTCACAGCCAGGGGCTCCCGAGCTTGTGGTGAACCACTCCATGTGGTGGCCACTCACGTCTGTTTCTGGATCTTTTCTTTTATAAGCTCACCAGTCATATTGAATTAGGAGCCAATGTACTATAGTACTGCCTCATTTAACTACTTCCATCTACAGTGGTCCTATTTCCACGTAAGGCCACATTATGAATTATTGGGCATTAGGACTTAACCATATCTCCTTAGGGGGTACAGTTCCTCCTTATTTGTGTAAGAAGTGGAATTGTATAAGTAGTGTGTTTTGTTTTTTAGATTTGGAACCAAGCATTTTACCTAAAAGGTATTGACAAACAAATGTCACACTTAAATAGGGGAAATAATTTGTGTTAATATCAATAGACAGCAGGTAGGCAGAAAGTCTAGGAGATGATGGGAAAGACTTGAGGTTCTGAGTTAGTTTTCTTTAGTGATTATCATATATAAATTGTTAATCTTGATGTCTGTGTTATTTTTCTGTCACTATAGAAGAGTACCTGAGGTTGGGTGTAGTGGCTCATGCCTGTAATCCCAGTGATTTGGGAGTCTGAGGCCAGGAGAATTGCAAGTTCAATTCAGCCTCAGCAACTTAGTGAGACCCTGTCTCAAAAAATGGAAGTGGCTAGGGATGTGGCTCCATGGTAAAATGCTCCTGGGTTCAATTCCCAGTCCCCCAACCAAAAAAACCCACTTGAATAGTTAATTACAGTTGTGAAGGTTCCAATCTATAGCCAGGCAGGCCCGTGACGCCTTGTCTCTGGGGAATGGTACTCTGTGGCAGGAGCAAACGGTGAACAGAGCCCCACTTCAGCAGGAAGAGACCTGAGTCCCCCTGTCCCCTCCAGGGCATACCATGACCTCAAGACCTTCTATGAGGCCTTCCCAAGGCTTTGACACCTCCAAGTGCTGTTGCCCTGAGACCGTGCTTGCACAGGATTCATGCCCTGTGGAGGGGAAGCTTAGCAGTGTGTGGGCACCCCGTCTGGCATTTCCCTTTTCCTGCCACTGCTGCATCTTGGTCCCAGTGGTTGTGCACCAACCGCACCTCCCCTTCATGTGGTGTTTCTTCTGTGTGCCTGGCGTAGCGCTTGGCTGCTCACCCACCTCCTCTCTCCCGCACTGTAAGGGACCGGCGAACGACGGAGGAAGAGACCACCAAGAGACTGACTTATGCAACAGCAAAAGGGGGTTTATTGCAGATCCAGCATGCTGGGGCGCTGTGCTCACTCAAGGAGGGAGAGCAGCCCAGAGCCCTGAGAACAACTTGAGCAGGGTTTATATACATTTTTTAGGGAGGGCAGGGACTTTACATACATCACAGTCCCCTTCAACAAATCACCATACACCGTGGGAAAATCAAACAACAACTCTCGAACATGATTAGTACATTCATTGGCGGGAACAGGTCGGGCGGGGGTGATAGGTCAGTCCTAAGAAGGGGGGTACATTCAAACTGATTGGTTTGGGCCCTGAATGCCTACATGGCAAACTGCACAGGGCCCAGGTTATTTAACAACTAAATGGTCAGGGGGAATATCTACTGGGCAGTCCTGTGAATTGTCCTAACAGCTACAGGAATTTCAGGTTTTGAGTGTAGCATAGGAACTTAACAATACCTGGTCTTTTACATTTTAACTCAGGCTTTGCAGCTTAGAAGCTTTACAATGCCTGGTCTTTAACTTCAGTTTCTTTTATCCTTTCAGCACGACCCTGAAGGCAGCTCTATACTCCTACGTCTTCTGACTCCATGTACTCCCCACCATTCCTAACCTCAGCACTTTAATCAAAGAGAGCTTTTCATTTCTTTCAGATTTGGATACTAACGTTGAAATGAAATCACCTGTTTCCAGTAAGAACATTTCTCAAGATAAAAAACCCTGTGGCATTAAAGTAGAAGGAATGGCAAGGAAGGATCTCTGGTATCTGTCATTGGAAGACGTGTGGAAATGTGAAGACCCGTTGGGCAAGTATCAGGAGAACCAAGACAGACATTTGAGGCAAGTGGCCTTCACCCCAAAGAAAGTCTTTCCTCCAGGCAGGGTCTGTGAGAGTGGTAAGTATGAGGGCAGCTGCCTCTTTCCTGCTCAGCTGGTGCTGAGGGAGTATTTCCACACACGGAGCTCAGATGAGAGAAGCATGAAACATGACCTGGCATTTAGGGAGCATCAGGGGCACTGCGTGGGTGACAGTGGGGAGTGTGGCCAGGCCTTCTGCAAAAACATCCACCTGATTGAGTGTGCGAGAGCTCGCACAGGAGGCCAACACTGCAAGTGCCCTGCTGGCAGCAGCCCTCTTGATCCCAGAGCATCCCTCCACGTGTCTCCGGGCACACACAGGGAGAAGCCCTATGAGTGTAAGGAGTGTGGAAAGTTCTTCAGCTGGCGCTCCAATCTTACCAGGCACCAGCTCATTCACACTGGAGAGAAGCCCTTTGAATGTAAAGAGTGTGGAAAGTCCTTCAGCCGGAGTTCCCACCTTGTTGGGCATCAGAAGACGCACACTGGCGAGGAGCCCTATGAGTGTAAAGAGTGTGGAAAGTCCTTCAGCTGGTTCTCCCACCTGGTCACCCACCAGAGGACACACACTGGGGACAAACTGTACACATGCGGTCAGTGTGGAAAATCCTTTGTCCACAGCTCCAGGCTCATTCGGCACCAAAGGACACATACAGGAGAGAAGCCCTACGAATGCCCCGAATGTGGGAAGGCCTTCCGACAGAGCACGCACCTCATTCTGCACCAGAGAACTCACGTTCGAGTGCGGCCCTACGAGTGCAGTGAGTGTGGGAAGTCCTACAGCCAGAGGTCCCACTTGGTGGTGCACCACCGGATCCACACTGGCCTCAAGCCTTTCGAATGTAAGGACTGTGGGAAGTGCTTTGGTCGCAGCTCGCACCTCTTCTCACATCAGAGGACCCATACTGGAGAGAAGCCTTACGAGTGTCACGACTGTGGAAAGTCCTTCAGCCAGAGCTCTGCCCTCATCGTGCACCAGAGAATCCACACTGGGGAGAAGCCCTACGAGTGCTGCCAGTGTGGGAAGGCCTTCATCCGCAAGAATGACCTTGTGAAGCACCAGAAGACCCACGCTGGAGAGGAGACCTATAGGTGTCAGCGGTGTGGCCTCGCTCTCAGCCAGGACTCCCCCTGTGTTGTCCATCAGGTAGGGCATACTGGGGAGCAGTTCTTCACCTGCCATCAGTGTGGGGCTGAGCTTGCAGGAAGCCCTGCCCTCACCTGCATTCCAGACAAGGCGTACTAGGAAGCAAGGGCTGGTGTGGTCACTGTAGGGCATCCTTCACCCAGAGCTTTGCAGAACACCTGGAGAGAAGCTCTGCACATGGACATATGTGGAGTCAGGTATGGTGGCCAGGCCTGTGATCCCAGCTACTCTGGAGGCTGAGGCATAAGAATCGCAAGTTCAAGACCAAGCTCAGCAATAGTGCAACCCTGTCTCAAAATAAAGAATAACTTTAAACAGGTTGGGGTGCAGCAGAGCATCCCTAGGTTCCATACCCAGTACCCCCCTAAAAAGGTCCTGGAGTAGGAAAAATCCACTAATTTCGTTTCAGTACACAAGTCCAATTTTCTGAAGCATTATTGACCAACTGAAAGTGCTAGCCTGAGGAGGAGCTGTGAGGGTGGTGGTTGGGGATGATCCAGCCTCATTGGTGTCCTCAGAAGGAGAAGAGACGAGGGTGCCTGTGTGGGGAGTGGCTTGCTAAGAACGAGAACAGCTGGGCTGCTGCATCAAGCTGGCAAGACGCACTCCCTTGGCCAGGTGCTGCTCAGTGGCACTTCTGAGGTTGACATCTTGGCTAGGCCACACTTTGGTTAGCAGCAAGGAAAATGCCTCTCATGTCAAACAGTAAAGAACACATTTATACTACTGGTGATAACTCATTTTTAAATACAGTTCCACGAGGGCAAGAATTCAGTGGAAAGATGAGAAAGTCTTGGTAAATGGGAAAAACTGACGTGTTAGGTTATGGGATTTGAGCTTTATAGTCTATTCAGTGTTGCTGAAATAATTGTTAAGACATCTTAAAGTGCTCAGAAAGGACATCTAGTTTCTTCAGTATCCAGGAAGCTTGAGGACCACCTCTGGCCAAGGTTCCTGTTGATTCTAAATTGTCTGGGGCCTTAGAGTTCCACTCTTTGCAAAAAGGTGCTGAATGTTCCTACGCATTTTAAAATGCAGCAGTTCTCTGGATGTGGAGACTTAGAGGATCGTTGGGCATTTGGATACTCAAGGGAGGGTCACCATTGGATCAGGAGCAGGAACCTGGGCAATATTCAGAGCACATGTGCGCACCAGACAACCCAGCACTGCTGAATCCTTTCCCTTTGTAGAGGAGACTTATTACCTGAGGGCATGTACTCCAGCTGGAATGCCCAGGGTGAAATCCCACCTCTTTCCCTGACTAGCTGGTGTTCGTGGGCATCTGCTTGGCTTCTCTCTGCCTGAAGTGCAGACAGCCTCCCAGCAAGCTGGAGATGAGTGGAGCACGTACCTTGGATCATCGAGGTGAGTGTTTGAGAGTGAGTGTGACAGCTTAGAAGAGGGCCTCACGTGTGCCAAGTTCTTTGTCACCATTACCATGATTGTTAAAATATTCCCCCACTGAATGTTACTTGTCACCTAATTTACATGTGCTTGTTGCTTCCTGGGTTCTCAGGTGCCTGACAACCATCTGCTGACCAAGGTTCCTATTGATTCTAAATTTTCTGGGGCCATAGAGTTCCACTCATACATGCTTTTCCCTTTTACCTAAGTCAGAATTTACCTGTGAAAGTTACTGACAATTACTGGGATTATGATTTAATTCCTGAGGATCAGTAACAGCTTTTAATATTGTATGCAAAATTGTTTTGTTGGTACAGAGGTCTTCTAGGGGGAAGACCCCAATCTTCAGATTCTCTGGTAAGCCCATTACCCAAAAAAGATTCAGGAATAGGATCTGCTTTAATTTTCTGTTTCATTCTATAAATGAATCTTGTGTGTGTGTTGTGAAAAGTGTCAAAATCAAAGTGAAGTAGCTTGCGTCAACCCTAAGAGCTATCACGCATGATTGCCTGGTAGTGACTTTGATAAGATGCTCAGAGAGCCACACGTGCACTCAGAGGCCACGAGGCTTCACACAGATGGCCCTTCATGGGGATGCCTGCCCAGAGGCTGTGTTCAGCCTTGGAGTGACGTTACCTTGCTGTTCATGGTTATGGCCAGTCATCTTTCAAAGTACATGGTGTCCTTGTTTTTGCCTTTAAAAATCTCCCCTTGCTGCCACCTCCGTGAGTACATCTGCAGTTTACTGTGACACACATTTTCCTATTGCAGTGCTGCTCCCAAGCAACAGTTGCCTTGGCTTCAGTGTTGCTGTGTGCTTCTCAGTTAGCAGTGGGGACTGACCATCGTTTGCCATTTTATAGCACAGGCAATGCTCAGATGGCTGAATGATAACATTGCAGAGACTAGTAGGTTGTGATCTCTCCTGGGAAGACTAGGGTGGTGGCTGGAATCAAAGTCTTGTAAAGGAGCACAGCCCCTCATAACTTGTGCTTTGTGATAAAGTGGGGAGAACATCCGTGGTGGCAGAGCCAGTCAGATCCAGGGCTGCTCATTTCCCCATGCTGTTCACACGCAGTGTACTCCTGTCCGCGGTTTTCATTACGGCTATAGTTCTTCACAGGAATGTCAGAGTAGCCCTTTAAGTGGGCCTCGGGTTTTCTGATACCTGTGGCTGGTGTTCCTCAACCTTTCAAGGAGGATACTACTAATACCTGCTTCAGAGGGCTGTTGTGTGGACTGACATGACATGTAAGCCACACCTGGTAGGTGCATTTGTGAGGGCTGTGGGTAGTTCTGCTGACAACACCTGACAGGTGTCTAGCTGAAGTGTTGCTTACAACAGTGCATCATTTGCAAAATAATAAAAAGTGCCCAATAGCAGAACAGTCGTACATGGTATAACCATGGTGTGGCACGTCATGTACCAGAAGTCTGACAGCATCGGAAAGTGTCAGTGCTGCCACACACTGTGAAGAAAGCTCGAGCAGGGTCAGCATGGAGTGAGCATAGCTGCTTAAGTGAACGCCTCCTTAGACAGCAGACGGTGCCACCCAGACCGACCAGTGTGTGGAAAGTTTACCTTCCTGCTGGGAGAACTGGAGTTGGCTCTTCTTTCTTTCATTCTACTTTTAAATTTACTTTTCTATTCTTGACAAAGTCTCTTTGAGGAACATAAGGTAGTTTTAGAATCAGGAAAACAGTCCCCTCAGTGATATAATTTTTTTTTTCCTCTTCAGAAACTCATGTTTGCAAGTAATCTTGATGAGGAACTTGAGCAAGGCCACAGGAAAGGAAGCCGGCTCTCAGTCTGCGTGCCACAGCAGAGGCATGCAGTGAGCATGGGAAGTGCAGGGGCACGAGCCAGCTGCCCTCCTATGAAGCACCTGCCTAGCCGTGCAGGGCCTGGGCTCAGTCCCAGCACTACATAAAAGAAGAGTGTCCCTGCCATAGCCAAGGTTGGGAAGCTCAGTGTGGTGGTGCTCCACAGATTAGTCTTTTTAGATTTAGAGGCGTTCATATGGAAATTGACAAAGTAATCAAAAATTTAAATGGCAATGAGAAGGGCCTAGAAAAACAAAAGAATTTCTGAAGAAGAAAAAGGTTGATTCAAGACCAGCTTGAGCAACTTTGGAGACCCTGTTTGAAAATGAAAGGAGGCTGCAGAGGTAGAGTGGAGTGCTGCCTAGCACTCGCAGAAACCTGGTTCAAGATAGTTCTGCCAAAATGAGTGAACAACAACAAAACTCCCAAGTATGAGGGCTGCACTACCTGATTTCACAGCTTTACCACAGAACTATGTTAGTAGTACTGTGTATTATTGGCATCAGCCTGGGTATGTAAGTAAGTCAGTAAGACGCGAAGTCTAGAAACCAGTCTACACCTAGATTCTCCAGTTTTGAATAAAGTGTCCAAATAATTTGGTGTAGGAAAGAGTTTTCAATGAATGCTGCTGAAATAACTAGGTATTTGCGTGGGGGCAGAGAAATACTCCCCTTACTTCAAGGTACATAGAAGAAGTAACTTGGAATGCATCACAGAGCTGAATATGAAAGCTGACAGTGAAGGTATCTAGGAAAAATACTTATGATAATAGTGTAGGGGAAGATTTCTCAGCACCAAAAGCACAAATTTTACATAGAAGAAAACTTAAAAAAAAAAAAAAAAAAAAAAGAACAGCCAGGCACAGTGGCACACCATGTAATCCCAGCAACTCATGAGACTGGAGGAGGAGGATCACAAGTTCAAGGCCAGCCTGGGCAACTTAGCAATGCCCTCTCTCAAAAATTTAAAAGGGCAGGGGATATAGTTCAGGTAGAGCTGGGTTCAGTTCTTAGCATGCATGAAGCCCTGGGTTTCATCCCCAGAATGGAAATAACTTTAGCTCTTTAAAAAGTACTGATTAGGCTGAGTGTGGTGGCACACACCAATCCTAGCTGCTGGGGAGGCTGAGGCAGAAGGACTGGGAACTTAGCAAGGTGCTTAGCAACTCAGTGAGACCCTGTCTCTAAATAAAAATATAAAAAAGGGTTGGGGAGGTAGTTCAGTGGTTAAGTACCCGTGGGTTCAATCCTTAGTACAAAAAAAATTACAAATGCACTGGGTGTTGTGGCACATGCCTGTAATCCCAGAGACTCTGGAGGCAGGAGGATTGAACATTTGAGGCCAGCCTTACAACTTAGACCTTGTCTCAGAATTAAAAGGGCTGGGTGTAGCTCCATGGTAAGGCACCCCTGGGTTTAATCCCCAGAACTGCAAGACCATCAAAAACCTGTGGAAGCAGGGGAAGGTGGAGACTGAGCAGAGGCCCATTGATGGGAGCCGTTTTTGGCATCCTGCTGGCCACCTTCATCCTCAATATCTGGTGTCTACAAGCTCACTGGTGTTGGTGGCAGCAGGCAAGTTCTGCTGTGAGATCTTGGGAACAGGAAGTCGTGCTGCCCACAGGTCAGTGGAGAGCTGGAGTGAGAACCTCTCCACTTGGAAATGACTGCTCTGAACAGTTAGTAAGTGCTAAATGAGTGAGAAAAAAAAAATCTAACAGTGATTTTTTTCTAACATAATGCAAGTAATTGGATGCTGAATAAAAAATAATATACAAAGCTGAGCCACAGGAGTATGTCACAATATGTACATCTGACAAAGACTTCTATCCCAAATGTAAAGAGCCCTATAACTTAAGAAAACAACCCAATTGACTCATCTCTTGGGCTGTTTTTCTGCCTGACAGCCATGTTCCATCAACTGGAGGGTCCAGAGTGGGGTTGAGAAGGACCTCTGGGTACAGACAGTATGTTCCCATTGCAGTTAATTCTAGGAAATGCTTTTTTTCAGAAATGACAAGACCATGGCCAAAAAAAAAAAAAAAAAAAAAAAAGTAAAAGAAAATGGTGGTGGCTGTGTTTGATGTGACCTTGTGTGCAGTTCCTAAATATGAGAAATTGGAGCCTCATTCTCTAGTAATGAAGCATTAATGAGGGCTGGGTCTCTGGTGACAGCACCTCCCCCTTTCTCTCTAAAACCACATATCCATTGATTGAAGCAATGACTGAATATACTAAGGCTGTTTACACTTTAATTTCTCTTTACCAACAATATACAAATTATTTGGGAAAATGAATTCTGAGACCATAGGGGAAGATGAAGTGTGGCAGGTGGTCACAGGAGCCAGAGTTGATATAATGCCCAAACAAGAGGACTTGAGGCTGGAAACCACTTGGGTGACTGCAGTTGGTCTTCAGAGATGGCAGCCAAAGCCGAGTACCAGGCCTCCAGAACTGCCAACTGGTGAGCTCTCAGGTGCAGGTGTGCTGGCTCTCCCAGAAAGCAGAAACCAAGCTGGCAGGAATGTACACGCAGGAGACGAGAGGGCCAGCCAGGAAAGGAGGCCTCCTGCTGGAGACTGAGGCCTGAGCTGGCCGTCCTTTCTGCCCACTTGGTGGGAAGCAGAGGTGGATGCCCTTCCACAGCAGCAGCACAGCTCTGCACAGGCTCATCAGGCCAGGAGCCTTGATGAGTGCTGAATGCCTGGCCCTTTCTCCTATGGTCTCAGATTCTCCTGGACCTGTTTGTTAGTTCTTGGGTTCTGTATATACCCTGTTTAACACTGCACCCCCCACCCCCAGAATACCTGGTCGCTCTCATTTTTACCTATGCCTGAAGCATTTCACCAGACTGGGCCAGAGAGGAGTCTTTTAGTCACTTCCTTAAGTTCAATAGCTATTTAACCTCAGTTTCAAGCTTGCTCAGATTTTCAAATATGATTTACTGTTTGTTCCCTCCATAGGAATTTGAGTTTGGTGAGGAAGGGGAGCCTGTTTGGCTGTAAGATTTCTTTATTAGCATATGTGATGTCTTCTCTGATATGGCCTTCCCACCAACTCTTTGGGCAGCTGAGGCCAAGGGTCGAGATTGTGACAGTTATGAGGATGAGTACAGAGTGTTCACCTGCTATTCCCAATATATGCCACCTGTATTGTTTTCTTCTTTCCTTTGAGTTTCTCTGTTGTACCCAAAGGAGAATAATGTTTTAACAATCCAATTAGAAACTGCAGAATATTTTCACATGCTTCACAAATGAATACATGAGTGGTCAGTAGACACATGACAAGATGCTCAGCATAGGGAAATGAAAATCAAAACCAGGAGGAGCTAGCACTTCACATCCAGTGTCATGGCCAAGGAGAACCAGACGAAGTGGGGGGTGGAGGGTGGGGGGGGGTTAGAACTGACATTGCTGGTGGGCTGTAAAATGGTTCATCTGCTTGGAAACTAGTTTGGCAGGTTCTTGAAATATTAAACAGTTAACTGTATGACCATCAAGTCCACTGTATTTCCCCAAGGGAATTGAAAATATGTCCCTTCAGGAACATGTAGATGAATGTGTAGCACTGTTCACAGTAGCTGAAAGAGGAATAGACACAGACATAAGGATGTGTGAGTGAATGAGCAAATGGTGTTGAATAGAATGGAATTCTGATAACACCTGGCTGGGGATGCAGCCAGCAGGAGGGTAAGTCTAGTACAGGGAGTGAGAAACAGCACAGACCATGGGACTGCATTGTCAAGTTCCACAGATGGAACCTGGGTCTCAGAAAGCAGATCCAGACCTGTCAGGGGTTGTCTGGCTGGGTGAGGAGGGACTGGTCAGCTTGACCTGGGAATCGCTAGAGCCATCTTCTCTTGGCCCTGTTGGTTCCCACTGTTCATTTGTCAAACTCATGGAACAACACCCTTTAAATGGGTCCAGTCTGTTATATGTAAGTTTTACCTCAATAAAATTGATTTTTGGGGTGTACCAGAGATTGAACTCCCGGGCACTGGACCACCGAGCCATACCTGCAGCCCTTTTTGTATTTTATTTAGAGACAGGGTCTCACTGAGTTGCTTAACACCTAGCTTTTACTGAGGCTGGCTTTGAACTCTGGATTCTCCTGCCTCAGCCTCCAAAGCTGCTGGGATTACAGGCGTGCACCTCTGTGCCCAGCAATAAAATTGATTTTTAAAATGTGTAGAAAACCAGGGTTTGCAGGGCAAGGAGGAGATCTGCAGCTGCTACTGAAGGTTGTATTTATATGATAGGTGCTGATGTTGGCAGCTCCAGGGATAGCATAACATGAGGCAGCAATGTGCCAGGCCCTTTCATGATTAGGTAACTGCATATTTAAATCAATCCTATAAAGAATTAACATTACCCCTCCAACCCCATTCTACAGGGTTTGGAAACTTTGAGGTAATTAGGGTTTGGAAATTTTAAGTAATTTGGCCAAATTCACCAAGATTTGGAAATGGGAGAGCTTCATTTGAAGACTAGCAAGCCAGGCACAGTGGTGCACACCTGTAATCCCAGTGGCTTGGCAGGCTGAAGCCAAAGTATTGCAAGTTCAAGACCAGCTTCAGCAACTTAGTGAGGCCCTGTCTCAAAATAAAAAGGGCTCAGGATGTAGCTTTCTGGTTGAGTGCTCCTGGATTCAATCCCTGGTACCATTAAAAAATATAAATAAAATAAATTTAAAAAGCAAAAAAAAAACTAGCAAACTTGTGGCAGAGATGTGATAAGGTAGTCCCTGGTCCATAGTTGGGTGGTGTTGGAGTTACCTGTTCTGAGATAGAACTGAGTGCAGGCTGCCGTCGTGCTTACTGCTCTCCCCAGAGGCACGCTTACCCAGACTCCCAACTGCCCTGTCCCTGTTGTATGCCATCTCCAGGTGAAGAGAAAGGTGAAGAAAGCATCCTGCATGGTTTGTGTGCGTCTTGAGTCACATGCTGCCTCCTTTAGTGTCCATGACAGCTTTGCTTTATGAGTTCAGTGACTCTTCTGGGGTTGTGACCAGAAGCGGAGGAGCTGGGTGCCACACCACATGTCCCGGGCTGGTGTCTGCATCTCTTCTGCTGCTCCTTGCCTCTGCATCTGAAGGGCTGGCCATCATGCTGGACAGAGGGGAAGCAAAGAGAAGTCTGTTTTTATGGTGCTGGGGAAGGAACCCATGGCTTCCTGCATGCTGGGCAGGCCTTTGCCCCTGAGCCCTACAAGGCCCGGGCATCCTCAGTTACTGACATTACCTGTACATGACGAATTGATGTATTTCTAGCACTCGCCCATGCACTGTGCACTGTGCAGCCCGGCAGAGGCAAAAGATCCTAGTCTCAGGATGATTCAGATACGGCACCAGTGTCTTCCGAAGACTCTAGCAGGTTAGTTACCAGAACCCTGGGATCCTCTCCCAAGTCTGATCTCAGGCTGCAGCAGGGATTCTGGCAGACAGCAGCTGCTTCTCCCTCCCTCAACCTGTCTCCATTACCAAGGCAGCTGCCAGGGCAGAACCATGTTCTGTGTTCAGATTTTAAATGTTTTTGTATCTGTGTGCATTCTCAGTGTTCCCTGCTTGTTACCTGAATTTGTGGTTATAGACTCAGGAAAAAAAAAAATGGACCATAAAGGCAAGAGTAAGGGCAGAAATTTTGGACTGCTTGGTTAGATCATTTAATACCAGTAATTGTATATTTAAGAAACATTAAGGTGGTAAATCTTTGTCCTATGTTTTTTGCTACAATTTAAATAAGGTGGCAGGGAGAAGGGTTGTTGGGGTATGTGGCAGGAGTGGGGTGGAGGTGCAGGGCCTGTCTGCAGAAGGAGCACAGTGGAGACAAATTAAATGCTCTTGATTGACTACAGTTGGAACTATTGGATTCTCTGCAGCCTTATTTGGATGAGTCCAGGCAGAGACCACCTCATGAAGCTTCCTGCTGTGTGCCGGGACAGGGATGCCACATTCAGGACTTTAGAGCCTTATGAGGCTCAGCTTGACATTAACGTTGACAATCCAAGGGTTGTCCACCATAACATTGGACTCTTGTTTTCATCAGAGTTGAAGAACTGCAAATTTACAAGAAAATCATGGACAGGACACTGAGCTGAGAAGTGCTTTCGTCTCTTTTAGAATGCAGGATTTGGGGCTGTGGGTATGAAGTGAAGAACCAGCCAGCATCAGGTTATTCCAAGTCTCCATGCTCAGTGAGGAATGAGGTACTTATACAGTCTCAGCTACCTCACTATGACACGTTAATTAGTCATGGAGAAAATGAGTAACTTTAAGGCAATGATGCTGACCAACACATCTTAACCAGGTGACAAACTTCTCAGCAATGTAACAAACATCCTCAGCAATATGACAAATCAGAACCACCGTTCACCTCACAGGATGCAACGAAAAGAGCTCATCACGACTTTCATGACATCCCTGCGGCAAAAGTGGAGAATAGGTTTGTGAAACATTCCCAAAGGAGATGGTAGAGAGACCACCATTAGATAATGTGTGGCTCTACGTTGGGGTTAGAATTTCACAGTAGCCACTGACATTCCCAAATGTAAGCTATTATTTATGTTGTGAACCTTTGCACAGATAATGCAAAAACAGTGGAGGGTAAAACTGCATGTCAGGAAAAAAAGTGGCTAGTTTCTCTTCAGAATGTCCCTAAGGAAGCAGTAAAAATTCATTTTATTCCAGCACTTGAGTGCATACCTTCTTATGATTGCAGTGAACATTCTATGTTGTGTACTGAAGTTTTGGGGTTGTCCAAGTAAAAATCATCTGCACTGTTACCTCGGTTGGGAGCTGAAGTTTGCATTAAAAGGCCACAGACTTTGACATTTTTTTCCCCCTAAATCAACCAATTGAACTTGTCACTTTAAGGGAAAGAATGCTAGTATTGTTTTGACAATATAAAATTAGTTTTCTGGGGCTGTGGTGTAGCTTCATGGTAGAGCACTTGCCTGGCATGCTTGAGGCCTTGGGTTTGAGCCTCAGCACAGGAAAAAAAAAAAAAAAAAAAAGTCGAAAAAAATGTAATTTCAGGAAACTTATATCTACCATTGTGAATTTCAGTTTCATGATACTGAAGATCAATGATATTGATGATGACGATTTTATTGTGTGGTGAAATATGTCAACTCAGCTGGTACTTCCCAAATGGCTAATGCATGACATTACAAAATAAATGATAGAATAATCCGAAGTGCAAGGTAGATCAATGGATTTTAGTGTAATAAAGAAGAAAAGTTAACGTATACGGTTTTTATTTTTTTTTTATTTTTGGTACTGGGGATTGAACCCAGGGGTGCCTCAACCGCTGACATCCCAGCCCTTTTACTTTTTGAGATTGGGCCTCACTAAATTGCTGAGGCTAGCTTCCAAGTGGCCGTTCTGTGTCAGCCTCTAGAGCCGATGGGATCTAGGGGTTGTGGTGTAGCTTCATGGTAGAGCACTTGCCCCGCGCCGGGCCCACCCACAGGGTTTTGAAGCCGAGGGAAGCCCACTCGTCGCTCTGTTAAAATTCGGGGACTGGGCTGGGAGGAAAAGAAGTCTATTCAGACCAGGCGTTTTGAGAGCGAGGCTGGCCGGCGGCTTCTCGGCCCTCCAGGTGTTTCCTCCGTGAAGACCGAGGCTCCCCAAACTCGCGGACTGCGGCCGCTCTCCGTATTTCGCTTTTTCGTCCATCAGAACGTCACTAACGGGAACAAGTAGCGGGGTGTCCGGAACCCCTGATATAGCAGGATGAGGGACGGGGCCGTCGCCGCTGAGGCTCCCGGCATTCCCCGGGCGGCCCGCGCAGAGGCCTACGGGAGTTGTAGTTCCCCGCGCGCTGGGCAGCATGACGCACTTCCCGTGCGTCCGCGGGGCGGGGCCTGTCGGGGTCGGCCAAACCTCTGTGCGGTCTTGGGCGCCAAGGGCCGGCGGCTGCTGTGCGGCTGCTGTGCGGCTCGCGGAGCCAGAGCGGGCGCCCATGCCCCACGGCCTCCCGGGCGTGGCAGTTAGGATCCGCACGGGGGCCGTCTGGGTGAGTGGGGCTTCCGCTCATCCCGGGAAGGCTGCCAGGCGCCGGGCCTGCGAGGAGGGAGCGCTGCCGGCCGTCAGGCTGCTCTCCTCCTTCAGTCCGCTTCCTGCCCGCCTAGCCTCGAGTTGGCGGATGGTCATTGCCCTCCAGCTTGTCCCGCTGGCGGTCACTGCGTCTCGGGCGCTTGTCGGTTAATTCGTCCGATTGTCCTGGGTTTGTGGCCCCGCGGCAGGTGCCGAGTACGGAAACAGGGCGCGGGGGTCTGCGGGCTCGGCGGGGAGCCGGCGGCGGGTCAGTGTAGGCGTGCTGCAGAGCTGCCGAGCTGCCGAGCTGTCGTGTTTCCCTGTGGTGGCGTCGGGCTTCCCACCCATTGCTTCTGCCCATTTTCATTTCTCATTTCGAGCAAGGTCTAGCTGAGTTGCCCAGACTGGCCTCCAACTTGCAGTCCTCCTGCCTCATCCGCACCTGTAGCGGGGATGACAGGCATGCACCATCAGCCCAGCGGAAAAGAGGTTTGTGAATGGAGTTTGGGAAGGTGAATGTGCTGGACGAGGACTGACCGCCAGTTCGTGAAGGGAGCCACGTGTACACATTTGAGAAGCTTCAGATGAGCTGCTGTGTTGGTGAAATTTGGGCTCTTTAGGATTGCTGGAATGAAGAGTTGTGGGGCTTAATGGTGGTGGTGGAAGTGTTTTAAGAAGTGAGGCCGGATGTGGTGGTGTACGCCTGGGAAGCAGAGGCAGGAGCATTACAAGTTGGAGGCCAGCCTCCGCAATTTAACAAGATGCTGTCTTAAAAGGAAAAAAAAAAAAAAAAAAGGCTGGGGTGTGACTCAGTGGTAAAGCACCCTTGGGTTTAATCCCCAGAACCAAAAAAAAAAAAAAAGAAGAAGCCAGAGCTATAGGTAGGGAACACATCATAGAGGACTTTGTGAACCCCATTAAGAAGTTAGTTGGCTTTCATCCTGTAGGGGAGGTAGATTGCATTGTAGAGTTTCTCAGAGGATTTTTTTTTTTTCACCTGGAAAAAGTTTTTAGATTATGAGACTAGAGTTACATAATTTAGTTGGTAAGAACTTTAGTGAAAAAAAATGAACATGAGAGAAAATGTACTTAAGGGAAGTAGGGAAATGAAAACTCTAAAAAAAAAAAAAATAAATAAAATGCTGCAAATAAGGATTGATACATTTTACCAATGAATCTTGTGTACTATTCTATAACATACTTCTATGTTCAAAATTATACTACACACTAAATTTTGCACACACATACAGGCACAGTATATATAAGATTATGTCATAATTTGTGAGAGATGGCTACAGATACAAAAAATTTAAAATACAGAAAAATTAAATCTAACAAGAAGAGATATTTAATCAAGAGAAACATGTTGCGTTCACATCTTCATGCTGAAACAGTCCCTACATCCACTCCAGGGTGCATTTTCATTACCCCTGAATAGACAAAAAAGGTTCCTTGCTGAAGAGATTGCCTGACTAATTCCAGTGAAAAAGCAGGCTGAAGAAGGGAATCACAAGTTCCCAACTCAACCTCAGCAACACAGTGAGGACCTAAGCAATTCAGTGAGACCATGTTTAAATATTTGAAAAAAAAATTTAAAAGAATTTTAATTGTGACTCTGTTGCAGTAATTCACATGCAGGTCAGCATGGGAAAAGAAAGAAGAAGCAGAGCAAGCAAAGCAGCAGCAGAAAAAAAAAGTCCTTTATTGTGTACAAGCAATCTTTTTATAGTATTGTGAACAAAGAAGGCAGCCTTCCAACAGCAATAAATCAGGTCTTTCAGCTAATTAAACATAGCACACAGAAGTTTTACTTTCTGATCAGAAGTGACCCGCTTCTCATGGCTAATCTACTCTGAGCTCTGCTCTTGTTAAGAACAGATAATAAAATTTTTCTTAGTGCCCTCCTAGCCCACTTGGCAGAACATCCCATTTGCAGGCAAGTCCTCCCAAGGACAGCAGACACCTCGTTTTCAAGCATGTCCGCTGTTACCTTATCTAAACCTTGAAGGAGCCTCTCGTTTGCGAGCAGGCCCTCCCAAGGACAGTAGACACCTCGTTTTCAAGCATGTCCGCTGTTACCTATCTATGCCTTGACAGAATATCCCGTTCGCAGGCAAATTCCATCAAGGACAGTAATAGTAACACAGTCACATCTGATTCTCTACATCTCCCTCCTTTTGTTTTTGTAAATGAGCCATAGCAGAAGCGGTAAGAGAGGTTTCATGTTTCAGTTGGAAGACTATATACAAAACAAAACACAATACAAAAATTATTACAGTGTTACCTAAAGAAGCTGACAACAAGGTAGAGAAATGACTTAAAGGATTTAAATTAGCAATACTTGAAGACAATTTTTGTAAAATGTCAGATCCTGTTAGTTCAGGTAATGTCTTATTAAAGGTGTCCATAATATTTTTTTCCAAATTCATAATTTCTAAAGTTAAATTTTGATGTCCATTTAACCGTCTTTTAACAGTTTCCCAGGAATCGCTGGTATTATATGGCACAGGAGTCACACAAATGTGAGAAGAATTCCAGTCACACTTCAGAACACTTCTGGTAGCCAAGATAGTCACTTGATCACCAAGCCAGGAAACGGTGTGTTGTAAATTGATCACATCTGTAGCCAATTGAGAGTCTAAGTCCTTTTGTTGTTGCTATAATAAATGAGCATCTTGATGCCATGTTCTCACTAAATCCACAGTTTGAATGCCTTGATGTAAAGCAACGCCAGCTACTGCAGCAGTGGCAGTTACAGAAGCAACTGCAAGGATTGAAGCTATAACTATTCCTATTAATCATCGAGAGCAATGTAACAAAACTTGAACAGCATTGTACAAATGAGTAACAAACAGTGAATCAGACGAAGTCGAGTCAAATTAACAGGCACCCACAATTCTGTGCAAGCTTTAACAATAACTAAAGAATAATTATTAATTTCTATTAATTCCCAATTCTATTTACACATTGAGTAAGATAACAGTCTATACATGATATTGTTCCCCAAGTTACATTTCATTCCCAGTTTCCAATCATAAGAGAATAAGGGAATTTAACACATGCAGAAGCAAAATAAATCAGATTATTATGTAGATGTATTTCAAAAGGAGAGGAATGAGATAAGTCTTAACATGAAATTTCCAGTCCATACAGTGAGTTTCCCAGATACTGCGCATAATTTCCATATATCCCCTTGAATATTGGAAAACTTTATATGCTGTAACATTGGAGGGACCAAAGCATAATGTTGCATTTTAATTTTCTCATTACCCCAAGCATTTATTGTCCCATTATGTCAATGCCATCTTAAAGTACGATTTGACCAACTTTCTATAAATTCAGAATGATCAGGACTCCAATCAACTATAGTGATATTTTGATATTTGACTACTGTTTTAGGGTGATGATCACAGCATTTTCCCCACTCTAAATGAGTTTAAAAGGTTTCAAAATATTTAGCTGAACATAAAGGAAGATGAATTCTGACAAAGCATTCTTCAGATGATAGTGATTATTGATTAACATACATATTAGAGGTATTAAATCCTCGGGAAGATATCATGACAGTAAAAACAGCAGTAGAATAACTATGATAATTAACTCCCCAAGTATTATAGGAATGAGAGTCATTATGTGCTATAAGAGGCAAACAGAAAGAACGAGCCCCTATACACAATGGGACTCCTTCAATAGCTACAGTTATATTTGAAATATTTTACAGATTTTTATGGAATGGAATATCTTCAATTCCCCCACATACAGAAGGGGGGGAAAATTAGTATTATTAGTACACACACGAACTTCAGGTTCTCCCCAGGAAACACTGCGCACCAAAGGAGGGTTAGGAACATAGGCCCAATAAACAAAAGAATGAGCAGAAACTATACTTACCTGGCAATTAATAACTGCAAGCATAGTTAAAAAAAGATTAACAGGATTTAAAGGCCAATTTGCCTTTTGAAGGGTTTTTTCAGCTTCTTGAGTCAACTTTTTCATCTGTCCCCATGTTGGGGGGGTCTGCTGTTCTCTGCATTGCCAGCTCCTGAAATTGTCTGACAAATGGGTCGCTCATTCTGCAATTTGATAAGTCTTGAAGGTACCCAGAAAGGTGTTTTACTTGTAGAAATATGAGCAAACCCCCTTCCCATGTGGTGCAACAACCCAGAAATCTATTCTTTATTTTCATCCCTGTACCATATAGGTATTTCCG